TAAGTTTTTTTTCTTCTTTTTTCCTTATATGTATTGATGTTTTTTTTATTGTTTTTATTGTTTTCTTGTTGTAGTGTCATATTTTTATTAGTAGTTTGTTATGGTATGGTTCCTTCCCTATTGTCCATATGGCTGTTGCTTCTTTTTTTCGATTGCAGCCTGACCATTTTCCAACAATTCCGTTAATATTCTTCCCATCTGCTTTATTTGTTTCTCTAGTTTGTCTTGTCTTTCTGCCACTTCGTCATTAATTGTCTTGTATGCTGTCAAAGGAATTTCCTCTTCCTCGATGTTCATTTCTTCTGCATCTTGATATTGTATTTGTTGCTCTTCCTCTTCTTCGTTTTTTTGTTCTGCTTCCTTTTGCTCCTCTTGTGCTGCCGTTCACTATTTCCATAAAATGTTAATCTTGTTTTCCATATTCTTGATTTTCCCTTCTAGGTTGCTCAACCTTTTCCTAATCCCTTCTTGTTCTTTATTTTCTTCCCTATATACAGATCTGGATCTGCTTCACTTTTTCAAAATTTCTGCAAAGGATATGGGTGCCTCCTTTTCTGGTTTCTTTCTGAATTTCAATTGTATTGACACAAATTTCACCTGTGCAATGGATTTGTCTCGTTGGATTCTCATCTCTTCACATTGAAAAGCAATATGCCTCCTTTGTCCACATTTGTAACATAGTCTTTTATACTGGTCCACGAAGTTGACTGTTGTTCTATCCAACTTGAAGGTTTGTTTTTCTGCTGCTTTTAATTGCTCCTCTGTTTTAAAAGCAATGTACGCAAATCTTTTCCTTAAGTATCTAAAGCCTGTTCTTGGGATATACAAGGTTTTTCCTTCTGTTTCTCTTACTATCTCCTCTAGGTCATATGCAGTAGTACCTGCTGGCAATCCTGCAAGTTTGAGTACGTATTTGAATCTTTTTGCAAGTTCCTCCTTTTCTTCCCATTTTGACAAAATTCTCAAATATTCCTTTTCAAATGGAATTGACCACAAATTGGCTAGTAGTTTTGCATCCCTTTCTTCTTTGAACGTCACTGTTGCTGTTTGCCACATTTCTACTGGTCGAATGTATATGGTATGGATGTCCCCAAACTTTCTTAATGCTGCCTTGATTGCCCCCTCACTTGCCAAAAGGGGGATGTCCCTGACTATCACGATACTTTTCTCCTGTAATTGGTGATCCCTTTGTTCCACCGGAATTAGGTATTTTCTTTTTTCGTCTGAACCAAAATTGATGTCACATGCCTCCTGCATGTCAATGGAATTACCAAAATTGGCAATGATTGCTCTCTTTTTTCCCGCCGTATCTCTTCCTACTCTTACACCCAAGAAGGAGTCGAAGGCGATACATGTTTCCTCTACCATCTCTAGCACTTTTGTCGTTTCTATACCTGTTGCCAGTTCCAATTCACAGGTGTATCTTAGTTTTCTTTCTACTTCTCTTGGTTTCTCCCCATCTGTTTGTTTCTTTTCCTTTTCTTTATATGATCCTTTTTCTCCTGTTCTGATATCTGGGCCTACAATACTTCCGCTTGCTTCCTCCGTTTCAGGTCTCCCCTCTTCAATCTCCATTTCCTGTTCGTTTGATACCTCTTGCATTTCTTCCTCTACTACTTCCTCCTCTTCCTCCATTTCTTCCCTTTCCCGTTTCTTTGTGTCCATGCTTGTTGCTCGTACTGGTACTGCTTTCCTTTTTCCTTTATCCAAGCTTTTAGGTCTGCCTGGTCCTCTTTTGACAATGGTAGTTGCTGACACTCTTGCTTTCCTAGTTGCTGTTATTGTTTTCCTTTCTGTTCCTCTTCCTCTTCCTCCACTCGATGTTGTTGCTTGGCTGACACCTATTTTCCTTTTCGCTTGCTTGTTGTTTTCCAAAATTTCCTAAAAAGGCAATTTTTGTCGTGTGGGAAAGAGTTTTTTTTTAATATTAATTTTTAATAATTTATTTATTTATTATATAAGTTACAGTAATTGTTTTTTTTTTTTTTAATACATGTAATAGTAGTCAAATAAAATCAATAAAAAAAACTATAGTAAAAGGAATCGCCATATTGTATTGTCCCAGGGAGCTGAAATATTATCTGCAGATTCCTTAGTATTGTCATTATCTTCGGGAATAGAATCACGATCTTTGCTTTTGACTTTAGTATTCGAATTAAGCTGACATAGGCTTTCTAAAAGCGAATTAACATGATTGTCAACACCATTATTAATATAATCTAAACAGTGCAAGCACTTGGATCCATCCTGGCTAAAACATGTATCATGATACGCGTGGCCACATGGCAATACCCGTCCTGTTTCTTCAATAAGAATATTGTTAGTAATAAAACAATTGGAAGAATCGCAACCAGACAAACTAGGCTTATGCGAAGAACTATATCCTAAAGGCAGATGACAAAGCCACGCTTCTTTAATCTTCATTGCTGGAATAGGAATACTGGCACTTTCTTCTTCCATACGCTTTTTCGACGGCTTTTTCATAGCAACCTGTGGTGGAATTAAAAATGGAATATTCTTACGTTTAATACAAGTATAAATATCGGAAAAACAATCCAGAAGAAAGCATGCAGTTTTCCGTTTCAAAGTTTCGATATTCCGAGAAGAATATTGGTAGACTGCCCAGGATGAAATGTGCACAAAGTTTTCTTTAAAACCATCATCATTAAATCGTAAATAGTTGATATTTCATGCTTCTTTTATTATTTGATCCGCCATAAGATGCTTCTCCATATTGCATCGCAAAAGACTGTGAAAGATTTCTACTGGCATATCGGAGAATTTTGGTAATTCAGCATTCATTGTCTCTATGATTGAATGATTTTTGAATTGCCAATAGAAAATATCAAAAAGAAACATTAAAGGTGCTTTAGAATAATTTTTACGATGAAATTTGAGAAAAATAACCCAAACCCGAAAACAAGATTCAATGTAAGAATCGAAATCGCCAGCTCAAAAAAATTTAGCATAAATATCAAGAACTAATGGAATCGCGTTATCCAACAGGTCTTTAAGTGTCAGAAATTCCGCATCTTTACACACGTATCCAAATTTAATTTCGACCATCTTCGCAATTTCTTGCCACGCACTACATGAGAGTTCTAATAATAAATTTATATGCCATGGTTTCGGTATCTTAGCAAGTTTTTTGTTTGCTCTGAATATATATTTATACATTTCAGAGAAAAATGGTCGATATTGGAGAAATATTAACTCTCGACTATTTAGCGAGATATGCAGAGGACCTACCATTGGAAGAAATGATAATACTTTGTTAGTAATTCCAGAAGAGTTACCATGAACAAGATATCGTGATATAGCGGTTCTCAAGAATATTTGACCAGACCAATCGGCAATGACTGGAATTACGTTGCCATCTTCGATATATCTATTTATTACTGGAACAGAAGTAGCAACATTAATAGCCTTAATATAAGCTTCTATCGAATGAAGATTATTCTCCAAGAGATTCACAAGTACAGCATCCTTCAATGATCTTGTGCTCCTTTTTTCTTTTAAACGAACATCATAGCTATGGACCGTTAGCTCTTCAAGCTTTGTTTCATCATCCACAAAGCGGAATCTCCAACGTCAGTTATGAGAGAGTGAATACGTCGCTATAAAATAATTTTCAATTCCAGATTTAATTAATGAAGCTTTAACTAACGCGAGATTATGAATATCTAGTCTTGGTATCGCCGGTTGATTCTTGATTGGACTAAGTAAAATAGTGGCGAAATGTTCGGCAGTCGACGTCGTGGTTGTGTTAGGCATTCTTTTAGAGTGGATACTGTGGTAATCGTCGATATTTAAAACTAGTACATTATTAGTACTATCTGCAAGATTTGATTCCACAGTTGTCATATGCTTTTTAGATATAGCATCCTTATGGTAAGCAATTGAACGAGATGTTACTGACATGCCTAATGTCGCTAAGGTGTCTATCGTTGAATTGGGTGTTCCAGTAGAATCTAAATACATTCCTAGATCTCTTTTTGCATTGTTAACGAACTTATTTCTAATACCACAAATAAAATAACATAAAAATACTAATTGTTTCGATACCTTTTCCATTGTATTTTTGCTTTTTCTCAATGGGTTCGTTGATGAATATAATTCATTGAAGAAAGACTTTAGCCATTCGTCTTCTAATTCCATAATCGCACGAAATTCTTCGAATATCCAAATTGGTGGCAATTCTTTCTGTTCTCATTCATAGAGGATATCTGTGATTATTCCTACTGCTTGGGAAAAAGTTAAATTAGTATCAAAAGTTTCTGTAAAAGTTTCTGTGGAAGTTTCTGTCTCGTGATAATGAGACTGATTTAACGCATGTTTCTGAAATGTTACACTTCCTATTATTATTCCGTTGTAGCAGTTCAAGCATATAATATCACCTAGTTGAGTATAATTTGGTAAAGAATTATTAGTTTGGCCTTTAAAAATAACATGTTCGGTTACCATTTTCCATCTTATTGAGGTTTGTTTCTTGTATATAGTAATCGAGCATGGTCCTATAAGCGGCATTTTTGTCTTCTAAGTAAAGTATACCAGTTTAGGGATTATTTTGGGATTATTTTGCACAGTAAACGATAGTGCTTTTCTGAAGCTGTCAACGGAGTTTGTGATGAATTTTTGTTAGTGAAACGTTACGTTCTCAAAAAGTACTTTAAACAATATAAATAAGTTACCCAGGCAATTGATTTACGCCAATCAATCAGACAAACTTCTGCCTATGAGAATCTGACTGTTTCCTCCCTAGTGCCAAAAAACTTTATATTATATTCTTTTTCTTGGAAATGGTTATTGTTATTTTAAGCAAGGTGTAGTAAAGAGAAAAAGGTGACGCATACTTTTCATGATTTAAAAACCGATCTGAGCTATATTGTAAAAAGTAATTTAATTGTACCAACCAAGAAAACTTGGAAATAGTCATTGTTGCTCTAAGCAAGGTGTAGTAAGGAAAGAAAGGTGACGCATACTTTCTGTGATTTAAAAACCAAACTGAGTTACATTATAAAGAGTAATTTAATTGTACCTACCAAGAAAACTTTATTTAATTTTTTTTTCTTTATTCATGTTTCTATAATAAATAAAGCTATATGTATATTTAATATGTAAATTAATTATACAATAAACTGATATATAATTATTAATAAATGTGAAGTTATGTATGATACTTTATAAAAATGTTCTTTTAATAAATATAATTAATAAAAAATTCCAAAACCTGAAAAAAAAATTAAATACGAATCCTTAAAAATGATCCAAATATTAAAAAAAAGACAAAAAATAAATCTAAAAAAAAAACAAACTGAAAAAAAACAAAACAGATAAACTGTACTTCGAATATTTGAATTATATTACCTTATTTGTTTTAAACTGATATTTGATTTAAAATTTACAATAATATATCCACTACTATAATTCATATAATTTCTAGTGTAGAATTTCTTACCTTTCTCTATGATATCTGAAAGAACTCACAATGCTTACCATGTTACAAAATATTCACTTATACAGTATATATGCATATATATATATTCTAGATACAACTTTATAAAATAATTAAATTTTCGATTATAATCGTGGTCACAATTATGATAGCATTTTGGTGTTTTCAACCATTGGTCTTGGTAAAAAAATTTTTGATATCAGTTTTATAAAATATCATATTGAATAGTATTGATTATATGCCATTATTAATGACATATAATATATAAAATAATATTAATTAAAATTTTATTCTGTACTTTAATTAGTATTAATATTTTTGATATTTCGATATTTCGATACGATATTGGTACTTTATAATATTGTACCGAAAATTTTCGGTAATTATCGATACCGATATTGAAAAAAATTTTCAGTATCGGTTTTACAAAATATCGTATCAAATAGTATCGATCAGAATCCTAAGACAAACTATACATGTTATCTAAATTATTTTGCTATTGACTCAATTATTAAAATTTTCAAAAATAATTGTATCTAACTCAATTATTTTATATATTTTATTAGTAACTTAATTAATTGTATCAAGTAATTGCATTAATTACATTAAAGATTTACAAATTCCTATTACATATATAGAATAAACTAATTTAGTTTTTTGAACAAATAAAAATTATAAAGTTTCTTAATTTCTTGAATGGTATAGTAAATATTATTATTATAAGATTATTTGAGAAAATTATATTAAAATAAATAATAGATTTAACAATTTTGTTTAAGTATATTTTTTAAAAAGTATTTATAAGTTTAATGAATATAGTAGTAGTGATATAAATAGTTTTTTTTATAATGTTATAAAAGTAAAAAGGATGCAAGAAAACAAAAAAATGAAAGAGAGTTGCTATAGGTTTTTTTTTTATATATAGTATATAAAGAATAAACATGATTTTTAAACTTGAGCAAATATTAATCAGAGGTTCTATTTTATTATACCAGCTGTCATGAAGATTTTTAAATTTCTAAATAGGGGCTTACTTGTAATAAAGAAAATAAAATATTTTTTTTTAATAAAAATTATTATAAAAAATTTTTTTTAACAAAACATATATAATTAGAAGAGAGTTAATAATAATATTATTATATAATTATAATATATTAATTTTATCAATTAAAATTTTTTAATAAAAATAATATTATATTATAAAAAAATTATATATTTTATATACTGTATATTTTGAACTTTTAAATTGTTGCTATATAATTTTTATACAACTCTTTCTATTGATTCTTTTTTTTTTTAAGGTGAATAGATACTTAATGCCATGGTTTTTATTGAATATTATATTTGAACCATACATTGCAATCTTATACATGCTAATATTACTACTAATTGTAAGTTTAACCATTATCAGTCCACCTTGCTTTTTACCCAGATACCAACTTGCACTATGTGGGTGGGTTCATAACTAGGTTTATGAAGGACTATTCTCACCAAGCACATGCTAATCTTTTGTAAATCATCTTGTCAATCACATTGTTTTTGGTACATGCAGCTGCAGTAGATTTTTGCACATATGTGTATTGCCTAGTTAATATTCTGAAATTTGATTCTTGGTTAGTACACACTACCAAATCTGGGGGCTCAATTACTGATCAAATCTTTTTATTGATTCTTTTACCAATCCAAAAACAGATATTTTCAAGAAATTTTTTTATTTCTTTAATAATAAAGTCTATATATTTTTCTTAATACTTTACTTCTTGAAAGCTGATATCTCCTCCTATTTATTTACTCTTTTTTCTTCAAAAAACTTTGTATAGTTTAATGACAATATAAACAAAACTTTACTTATTTGATTTATAACAAGAATATTTTATTGAAAAGAAAAAACCTATCAAAAAAATACCATTCGCTATATTCTCTTTAGATCTGAAACTCAAAAAAATAAACTACTAATAAATATATTTTTCAAATTTCATATGAATCTTGGATTTACTATAAGTAAATATCCTAGGTTAAGGCAGGTAAATAAGTTAATAGAGTCTATTCTCTCAGGTATATGATTTATTTTTATTAATTATATATGTTTGTGATAGTGTTTTCAAGTATATTAGAAATTTTTTTGCTTTTTTTAAAGAATTTTACTTACCTTAGTTTGATTATAAATTTTTTGTTACACTAAAAATTCTGGTTGGTGATTGGTTGAAATCTTAAACTGATTAATTAATATGTAAAAAAAATATAAACAAGTTATATACTTCTTACATGTTCTATATCATACTATACTAAAACTAATAATACAATTAGATATAACAAAAGAGCAAGATATTGAGATATCCTTTTGTTAAAAGTGATTTAAAGCCTTTTTTCTCTTCTCTTATACTGGTTTTTTTCTTTTTATGATCAAAAAAGATTTTCATTAGACTAGTAATTGATATTAGATAGGTTTTTATTATCAGGACAAACTTTTTTTTTTCTTTATTTTTTTCCCTTAGAATTATAATAATTATATTGAGATAATAGTTAAGAATGTTAACTGACAATAACTTTTTAGTCAAAATTAATAAACCATCTTATTAAAAAGAATCAATTTATTTATTCTCCATAATTTCATCTAGAAAGTTGAAAGAATTTAGAAAGTCTAAGATAATTATATAAACCAATTTTTTTGTAATGAAATAGTTAGTAAATAGCTAGGTCATATGGATAATATGGTGGTCTTGATATTAAAGATTCAAGAATCATATATAAATTTATTAAACTTAGTGACAGATATGCTGCAGCTTATAAAAATGATTAGTAATTATATAAAATTATATTAATGTATTTTGTTTAAAAAGATTAATAAACATAGTAGCTTGTAGTCTAATTAGAAGTAAAAAAAAAACAATTATTATATAGTTTTACAAGTTCAAAAAACAATATTAAAATCTAACTAATAATATAATAATCAATAAAAGTTATTATTATAATTTTATAAATTAAATCAAGTTAAATATTTTTTATTTTTATAATTTTGATATTTATATTTTTATTTTAAAGTTTTTTTTTAAACTTAAAATTTTTTTTAATATTAATATTACTATATTATTTTAAATTTACTTAATATTATATAAAATATTTTTATTATATTTTTAATATTTGATATTATACTATATCTTATTTTATTTAAATCTTTATTTTGATTTTATTTAATATTTTATAAACATTAATATTAAAAAATTATCAATTATATTTGAAAATTTTATTAAGTTTTTTAATAAAAATATTATAAATAGATTTTGATATTCAGTTTTATATAAAAATTTTACTATTTTTATTTCAAATAAAAGATATTAATGTATATACTGTATATATTATTATGTAGATTAATTACATATATATTGTTATAGAATAATTAAATTTACTGAAACAATACATAGAAATTAAACTACTTTTTATCACTAGTCGAAATTTGGTCATTTGGCATGTCGAATTATTGCCGAATTTTTAAATTTTTTATAATTAAATTTAAGCTGAATTTATGCCGTTTGGTGCCACT